ACTTGAAACAGCAAAGTCAGCATATATAAATCTGAATGAATCAAAAAGCAGAATAGAGATAGGGGAAAAAACTGGTTTCATTCAGTTGCAAAGGACCTGAAAGATAATATTTCCTATTCTCCTTCCAAATTCCATCAAACAAATCCAAAGTATTCTTGGGGCATTGCTGATATTGAGGACTATTCATTCGTTCACCAAGAAGTCAGATTCAGAAGGTTCTAAATTATCTCCTGCTTTCAAAAGTTTTTAGCACTTCCATTTACCTTAAACTATAAAAGCATTACAGCAATGGACTCTTTCAGCCATGTACTGAAGAATCAAAGGATAAGACAGATGATCAATTCAGTCTATTTCACTCAATTTCTGGGAGTATCATGTTGGTTGATTTTAAAAATTCCCACTAAAATCATGTCATTTGAACATATGATCTTAATCAAAAGAAAAATATTATTCTCCACCTTTTCATTCTTATATATTTTTTGGTACTCCCTTCTACACATACTGGTTTCTAGGGGAAAAAATTAATTATTTAGCTATGTATTTCACCCATATTCCCATTGTAAAATATCAACTGTTTATTAAGAGCCTACTAGATGATAAGCACTGTGCTAAATGTTTTATATATACTATTTCAGTTAACTCCTACAACTTTATGAGGCAGGTACTCTTATAACCTCCATTTTAATATGAGGAGTGTGGATTTGCAAAGGATAAGTGACCTACCTAAGTTCAAACATTTAGTAAGTAGTACAGCCAACCTTCAAACCCAAAGAACCTGGCTCTAGAGACTGCCTTTTTAGCCACTTGGACAACTTCATTCTTTTCCTAATTTACATTACTACAAAAGTTTCCTTGTCAGATTAGATTATTCACAAATAGGTCGCAGTTATAGAAACATGTCCTAATTCCCTTAACCTTTCTCTAGGCCAAAAACTAAAGAACGCTTAGAAAACAAAAAGTCTTAAACTAATAGCAAATTAGAGAAAATTTTACACCAAATATAGAATTCTTATAACAAAAAAAAAAAAAATTGAGAGTTTGGTAGCTCTGCAGATTTGGCTGCAAATGTGGTTTTCCACTGAATTTGCTTAATAGATTTGTATCCAGTTTCACTCCATTACTCTAAGAGCAAAATACTGCCTGATAATCTAGTCTACAAACTAATGGCTAATCCTTATTACATACTGCATTCTTAGTATTTGGATCTTAATGAATATCAGAAGCAAAACACTCACTTGAATAGATGTTACTCCAGATGCACTTGTGTAATGACTAATACTGCATATATAATTTGAAAAGTCAAAGAGTTCTACTTAAGCAAGTCTACCTAAGACTGTCATTCAACATGAGTATCTACATATATAAAAGGCTAATATTAAGTGTCTGACCATTAAACCAGGTCGTATGACACACACTGACCACCAGAGGGCAGATGCTCGATGATGGAGCTACCCCCTTGTGATCAGTCAGCTTACAGGGATGAACAGGGCTGGGATAAGCAGGAGCTGCTCCTCCCTGGCTGCCTGCTGCTTTGCACACTACTATCCCTCAGGGGATGTTGAAAGCTGGTTTTAGCCCAATCCCCATAGACCATGCCGATGGACCTCTAGTATAGAGGTCTTTAGTGTAGGGATAACTTCAATAAAACTCTGATGCTTCATGATGTGAAAACTTAGTCAGTAGTTCTCTCTTTGTCTCTGGACTGTACATCAGATCTATCTGAGGAACTTAAAAATGCTGAGGCCTGGCCCTACTCCAATACATTCTGATTTAATCAATCCAGTAGAGTAGAACCCTGGCATTGCTATATTTGTGTTGTGTGTGGTGCTGTTACTGTTTTTTAAAGCTCTCTAATACACATTCAGGCTTAAGAAATGCTAAACTCGTAGTCTATCAAGTAGTAGTCTATCACATAGTAGTCTATCAAGCTAAAAAATAAATTTGCAAATAATGAGTTCTGCAGACATGTACCTACTAAATATAGGAGAAAGATTTCTGCCAACGGGGAAAGAATTTTATTCCATGCATTGACTCTTAAAAATATATATAACCATCTATCCCTAGCTAGTTTTGTTCAGTGGACAGAGTGTCGGCCTGAGGACTGAAGGGTCTCAGGTTTCATTCCAGTCAAGAGCATGTACCTCAGTTACAGGCTCCAGCCTGGTCGTGGCACATGCCAGGAGGCAACCAATCGATGTGTTCTCTCTGTTTCTCCCCTTTCCTTCCACTCTCTCTAAAAAATCAAGGAAAAAATATCCTTGGGTGAGGATTAACAACAACAACAAGAACAAAAAATAGCCATCTATTACACGTTTATGTTCATTTTATCTGAGTAATTATTGAAGTGATATATATTTTAAATACAAACTCAAAAGAATCAAGGTTTCTTTATTAAAAAACAGAGGGGGAACTTCGACTTTTTTTATAGCTACTGATTTTATGGCAAATGAAAAAATAATGTATGAATAAACCAATATAAATTATAAATATGCAATCTAAATATTGCCTTCAACTTTCTTTCAAAGTACACTGCAACGTATCTGTAAGTTTTATTTATTGGAGAAAATCCTACCATTTGTATTATATGAATAGACAATAACAGAGTTCTTTTGCACTTTCAACAAAATTACTAATTCAGTGGTCCCATAAACATATCTACCAGGGGGAATTATCTATTTAAAAAAAAGAATAGACAACATGAAATAAAAGAGTTAAATTTTTTATAATCTAAAACTAAAAATATTCCATTTTCTTGTAAATACATGGAATGTCTTTATAAAGGAGCTTATTTCTCTCCCACCTTAACATATACTGCAAAATTTACATAGTTATATTTAGTGAAAATTTTGAAATATTATTTAATCACTTGTTAAACTGAGCTTATGAAATTAGGAGAAAATGATGTTGAAATAGTGTATGAAGTAATATTTAGACAGCTTAAGCCAGTAAGAGTCATATATGCCTATCAGACACATATGTATCAGACAATGTGTATCTCTTCTTCACCACTTGTAGAAAAATCTTAAAGAAAGTTTACATTGTCTACTATATATTACTTTTTTGTGTAAGTGATCTTTCTTATGGGGGGGAGGAGGTATGAATTTAATATCTGGATCACTGTGGTACAGTACAGAGCATCTCAAGATACAGGAGCTCCAGTGCAGAAAGGACAATAAAAGATTAAATTCCTGGAAGTCTACATAATAGAACTACAGGTTGAAGTCAAGACTGTCTCCATCTACAGGGGACAGGGATAGAAATCCCAGCTATCTCCAGGTAATACATAGTTTGAAATTAATACTTTTCAACTAATTTCATGATCATATGTATCATTTTTTACCATTTTTTTCTTCCTTGGTTGTCTGTATTCCCTAAGTCAACCATTTTGCCTTGTGTTTCTTGAGTGGATTGGGGCAAGGAGGCTTCAGTCACAGGTTAATCTCCCCTCCTTGGCATGCTGAGATCTTAGGTAGCCAGGAGTGGGGAATCAGGGCACAAACAGATAGTCTGGCCTGTGCCAGTTCAACTGAAGTAAAAAGGAACTAAAATTTCAGACATGAATGAAGAGACCCACAGAAGAAAGCACCCCTATTTTATATACACTGTAAGGGACAATTTAAAATACACTTTGATTTTTTTAAAGTTATATTTATATATAATTTCTTAAGAGTGTCCCACTCACCCTAGTCAGTTTGGCTCAATGGATAGAACGTCACCTATGGACTGAAGGGTCCCAGGTTCGATTCCAGTCAGGGGCACATGCCTAGGTTGCAGGCTCGATCTCCAGTAAAGGATAGTGCAGGAGGCAGCTGATCAATGATTCTCTCTCATCATTGATGTTTCTATCTCTCTATCCCTTTCCCTTCCTCTCTAAAATCAATTATATATATATATATATATATATATATATATATATATATGTATTTTTTTTAAGTGACCTGCTCTTTAGTACATTATCAAATACCTAAGTTTCTAAGGTCTGCTTCATGAGAAGTTAGGCTTCCCCATCCTTCAGAAAAGGGATGGTGGCAGAGAAGGGAGAACACTACTTCCTATATTTGGTGACTGTCAGTAGAAGTACCCAGGCATACATCCAAGAAGTCAGAGCCCAGAAGGTGCTCACATTAAGATGACTGGTTCACAACTACTGTGACATGAATATAAGCGATGTTATTCCACACTGAAATGAAACAGCCTTTCCTTCTGACTGTTTTCAAGCTGAAATGGGGCAAATATACTGCTTATGCCAAAGACAGAGTAAAAACCCATTTTAAAGTACTTCAAATCCCCACAGATTTACTTACAGTGTGGATTAAAGGGCATGCCTTAAATGTACATACACTCATTTGTATAACTGAATACATAAGCTTCTCATTAAAAAGTAGACACTATCCTGAGGGGAAAAAATCCACTTTTCTGACATCTACTATTCAATCAGATTTCTTATGAAAGCATGACTTGCAGATGAAAAGTTTTAATATTAAAATACAGATAATTGAGCTAATTTATAATAATTAAACCAAATCCATGGAAACAGGTCCAGTTTACCTATTCTCATCAACCTGAGAGTCCAGTCTACTCATTAATTGTACTGTGTGATTTAAAGTTTAAAAGGAATCAAAGATATACAGATAGAGTTAGTATAATGAAATATTCCATTTGAAATATGAAAATCTGGCTGCATTCCATAATTAATTTTCCCTATTAGCTACAACTTAAAGAGTTTTCTCAAAAGAATTGAAAATTTTCCAAATTATCTTAAAATTATTTCAAAACACAATTATGTGAAGTCCTCAGTTAATTTATACTATCTTTCTATTAGAAAAATAAAATTTTCAAGTATCCCATAACTATTTTTATATCCATACTTCCTTTGAAAAACTGCTTTAAAAATAAAAATATGAGTTTAAAACAAAGAGTATCTTTTAAGATCTGAGATAAAAAATAGCAATAATTAAAAACAAGTTCAAGAAGAATAGTTTTAATGTTATTCTACTTACCTTTAATGTGATACTATAATGTCCAACAAATGTTGCATTTATCCATGATTTTGAATGGGGATCACCCAGGAATTCTACGTGATACTGTTTAACATTTCCATCCAGGTCATAGGTCACATATTTACCTTTTAAAGGATCAGGGCAAAGTATCCCTGGCCAACTTTCAAAGAAAATTATTTTTAATTATTTTGATGCTTTTAAAAGGGCAGTCATCAATATATCTGTCACAGTCTTATATCAAACTTTCTTCTTTGAATTTAATAAATTATTAAATAAACTTTAACATATTCACATTTTAAAAATAGGATATTCATTTGATACAAGTAATCAGTTGTGCCTTTGTAGGTATAGAAAGCTTTGAAATAGTGACCCATTTAATTTATACATGAGAAAGAATTATAAGACAAAGGAATGATCTCCAGGGTCTGTAAGAGACACTTAGGTATTGTTAAGAGAAAAAAGATTCATCAGAATCATGACAGGATTGACTCAACTCTAACCAATCAGAAGCCTAAATATTAAAATGTTAACCCCTTGACAGGGCTTCTGAGGGGGTAGGAGGGTGTTGGCATTTCCTGAGCCAGGGCTGCCCAAAGGGTACTTTAGCTCACTCTGGAGATGTAACTTCTGTGGGACAAGCAGAAGTAAGTTCAGCAGTCAATATTGTCCCTCTCTCCCTGCTCCCATCTGCTCCATTTGCAGGTGACTGCATTGCTAAAAATCCTCATGTAACAAATAAAATGTATCCTTTACGAAAAATAAATCTTCAGAGTTTTGGGTTTTTTTTAATAACATAAACCTCTAGAAATTCCTTGGTATGTTTTATTTTTTTCATTTGGCAATTAAATTGTAACTAGTTTAGCAATCTCTCTAGACTTTGACTTACTACTCTTCAGAAAATAAAGCCGGAGAAAAGGTACGAAATAAGGTCAGGAAGCTGTGACTAAATAATGTGCAATAGAAATCTGAAGTTTATAGAGCATGATCCAAAATATACATATCTAATATACCCAGACATTAAAAGAACTGTACAATGGTCAAATTCTATTTCAGTTTGCAGCACTATAGAGTAAAAAGATAACAAGGTTCAAAGCAGGAGACCCAGGCTCTAGTTCTGCATTCTCCCAAACAAGAGGCCTGCAGCAGGTAATGAGGCCTCACTGTGACTCTGTTTCCTCACTGCGCGGTTACAAAATAGAAACAAACATGTGTTTTACACATTTTAGTTTTTAGGCAAATTAAAATATTTTCAAGTATCATCATTATATATTGAATTATATACAATTCTATTTATATGTTAAAGTCCTAACCCACAATACCTCAGAATAAGATTGTGTTTGGAAACAACATCTTTAAGGAAGTAACTAAATTAAAAGGTGGGCCCTAATCCAATACGAGCGAGGACCATGTGAAGCCACAAACCCATCTACAAGCCAAGGAGAGAGCCTCAGAAGAAATTAACCTTGTTGAAACCTTGATCTCAGACTTTTAGTCTTCAGAATTGTGGGAGAATAATTTTTTTGTTATTTTTAAGCCACCCAGTCTCTGACACTTTGCTATGGGAACCCTAGCAAACAAATATAACCATATACTGTATAGGTAAGATAATTGGTACCATTGAGAAGTAGAAGGAATAATACAAAAATATTTTTTGTCCCATTTCAACAATTATTTTAAAGCTAAATAAATTAAATAGATAAGTTTAAAATCTAAAAGATGCATACAAATCATGCTGCAAAAAATCTGAAATCACAAAAATACATATATTGTTTGGATTTGGGGACTGTAGATTATTGATGTCCTACTAAGTTATCAATTGATATTAAAGTTATGAAGTCAGCCGAAACCGGTTTGGCTCAATGGATAGAGTGTCGGCTTGGGGACTGAAGGGACCCGGGTTCGATTCCGGTCAAGGGCATGTACCTTGGTTGCGGGCATATCCCCAGTAGGGGGTGTGCAAGAGGCAGCTGATCGATGACTCTCTCATCGATGTTTCTAACTCTCTATCTCTCTCCCTTCCTCTCTGTACAAAATCAATAAAATATATTTTAAAAATAAAAATAATAAAAAATAAAGTTATGAAGTCATAAATATAGAAATATATGTACCATAACCAACTATAAAAAAGTTTCACAGATTATAGATTAATGAAAAGAGTTTATGTTTAGAATTATTAAGGTAAAAACATTTGATCCCAGGAAGCTGATACTAGTAAGTCCCGAGAAGAACTGCAAAGAGGTGGTGACTAGGTGATGACTTAGGTGCACCAGTCACCAGGGATGGTGGATTGTGAGAATGGAACAGCTAGCCACTGTTCCCTGAAGCTGAGCAGAGTCCTGTGGCTTTGGGCCTCTCTAAGGGTAAGGAAGGTAGAAGGCTGCCTTGGCCACCTTCCATCATGAAAGAAGAGGGGCTAGAGGATTACAAATTTGAGTCACACCTATCAGGAACCCAAACAAGCCTCATACTTCAGAAGAAAAGGAAACGATAATGGAAAGCAAATGGAGGTTCAGGACTTAAATGAAGACTGTCTGATTATTATCAGGTTCACATAACAATATGTGAAAGCTATTACTGGGCTATGCTTAAGAGTAAAACTCAAGTAAAGCTAATATTTTAAAACTAAGCTGGAAATCCACTTTCTGAAGAAACCCACTCAAAAGAAGACTTTAATGGACAAACGACTAAGGATAAGTGGCAGCTGCAATGGAGACCCCCAACTTTTTGAACACCAATAAACAAGTAGGTGCTTCAATCTAATTAACAGCTTTTTAAAAGAACCAAACTGATTGTTACATTATATTTGTTTAAACTTTTTGTAAAATATAAGGGGCTCATGTTTAATACTACTGATTTACACCTCACAGCAAGTTTTAAAAGGATCATTGCCAAACAATAGCAAATTTATGCATAGCAACTACTCCATTCAGTGTCAGTTTCAGGATTTTTAACACTTAAGATATGAAAGAAAGAAATATTTTGCAATTATGTGTAAGATGAGCTGCTATTTTTCTGACACAAATTCTGATATAACTGTTTTTTCATCAAACCTATTGGGCCCAAGAGTCTTCAATCTAAGTTACTACTCTATGAAATATAAATAAATAAAAAGAAATGACTCTAAAAATCATTGAATGCCTCTGTTCATTAAAAATATGCTATATTACAGAAAATACTGCATGTTGATGCTGAGATGAATTGTGTTAAGTACTGTCAAATGTCTAAATAACTCTGGCACTTTTGTATTTCTTTAGACGGTGCAAAGGAATCATCTGATTCCTAGTCTGTATATCTCGGTTAACTCAGAATGTTCCTCCTAACAGTAGGAAGAGCTGAGCAGAGGCAATAGATGTAGAAAATATGATTACTTCCCTGCAGCTGCTACATCTATCATCTTCTCTGACTTGCTGTGATTGAAAAAAAGCTGATGTCCATTTTTGCCCTCACTCTGACTTCAATTTCAGTACCAAAACTGTCAATGATGACAGCACATTGTGCACATCTACTTCCCAATTTTTCACTTTCATATTGATGAGAAATTCTGAAGCTTAAAGGTGGAAAAGGAGAGCAAGAGTAGGCAGCCCAATGGAAGCATATCAGAATTACAAGGGAAGTGTATGATCAATTTTAGAATCTGTGAGTGTAAAATGTACAACCAAAACAAAATTAAAAATGTACAAATACAACAAGTTTACCTGGTTTTATACTCCCCTTGGAAGAGAAGGAGAACATTTTGGCAGAACAAGTGGTAAAGTCCAGGGGAGGTGCAAATCCTATATAATAAAAGCCTAATATGCAAATTGTCCCCTCAACAGGGAGTTCAACCAGGAGTTTGTCTGCTCACTATGATGTGCACTGACCACCGGGGCGGGGGGATGGGAGTGGGGGATGCACAGAACATGGTGGGCATCAGTGATGTGGTGCTGGCAGCAGGTGGCAGTGGAGGCCCTGCCAATCCCAATGGGCTGCAAAGAGAGCGGGATCACGGTGGGATGGTGGAGCAGGTGAGCAGGCAGCACCAGGCTAAGGCGAGTGCAGTGGGGCCTGATCAGCCTGCCAACCACCCTGTAGATGGCAACCAATAGCAGTGGTGGGGAGCAGGGCTACCTACGGGCTCCCAGACACTGAGGGAGCCAAGCGGGGCCTGATCGCCCTGCTGACTGTCCCAAAGACAGTGACCAGTGGTGGCAGGGGGCAGGACCGCGGCTGGGATTCCAGGCAGTGAGGGAGCCAGGCAGTGGCCCAATGACTGGGTGAGTGGAGCACATGAGGACTTGGGGCCCACGTGCTGCCCAGGGCCCAGAGGTCAGCTGGGACCTGCCCTTCCATGCCAGATGCTCACACTTTGATCACTGGCCAGGTCTAGGGACTGAATACATGCACCAATTTCTGGCACCAGGCGTCTAGTATATGATGAAGAAACTGCTATCTTACACATTTCTTATCCAGGAAAATTATCTTTAATATGATAGCTATTATCCTCAATAGGAATTGAAGCTTAAATATGTATTTATTTATTTCCAATGAGAAGAAGTACATAACTTATTTCTACTGGCAATTGTGGTTTGGATGTTTAAGAGGAGAGAAAATTTTACTTGGGCCTCATTCCTCTTGTGTATATAAAGCCATGAGAAACAGAATAGATGAGCTGGAATCATCATTAACATTATATTTGCCAAGAAATTTCTGGACTGTGCCTAACCGCAGGGGTTGTTGGAGAGAAGAAATTTCCCATCCATACACACACATGCACACACACACAGAGTATATCAATCCATAAACAAAAAATACAAAGTAATTAAATAATAACTTGTAATACTGAAAGGACTAGTAGAAATATCAATTTATAAATTTACAAACTATATCTAAAAAGTATCACTGGGTTGGTTTGTTAACCTAAAGACATATTTTATTACTAAACTGTTTTACTATATTACATTAGGATGGAAATATATTTTCTATAAATTAATTTTCATATTCATGAGAAAGCTTTGTATGCCTGTGTAAATATGCCCAAGGTAGTTTTAAATAGAGCCTAACATCTGTTTGACAATGTGTCCTACTATACTAAGTAAAATATGTATTGTTCTCTTTTACTTTACTTCTATGCTCTTTTTAGCTGAATACAATGATATTTGCAATTTAAAAAAATCAAGGCTGCTTAAGCATTATGGAGATAGTTTTTCTCTTCATAGTACATGCAGATATCTCCACCTCAAAGCAGAGACATAGCCCAAAGGCAAGAGGTTACATACACATTTTTACAAGTACATAAGTTTGTGCTCAATCACAATGTGGAGGTAAATATAACTGTTAAAATTTGATTTTCCATAGAGTTTGCAGTAGGAGAGAAAGTATTATTTTATTGGCAGGTGCAAGTGCGAGGCAAGACCATGGCACACAGGAGCAAAGAATTTTCAGTAACCACCAGGGGCTCACCAGGATGACAGCAACTAGCACCCTGCCTTGGTCTGGCGCCCCAGTTCACCTGCTTTACCATCCCCTTGTGCCAACCCCTACCATGTTCCACGTGCCCCCTGGTGGTCAGTGCACATCATAGCAACTGGTTGTTCAGTTGTCCTGTCATTCAGTCTATTTGCATATTAGGGTTTTACATATATAGATATATACACACATATATATACATATATATGTTATGTGTGTAATATAATATATATTATATTATATATTATAATATATTATAACATATTATATTATATATTATATTATATATAATATATGTTATATTATATTATATATTATATAATATAATATATATTATATTACACACACACACACATAGAATATTTCACATTTGATCCCTAGAAAAGCTCTCCATAACAAAATGTACAAATCAGAGCAATTTCCACATTTGCAAAGACATTAAATGTATTAGTTTGTTATGGATGTCATAGAAAAATAACACAACCTGAGTGGCTTAAACTATAGAAATTAATTTTCTCACCATTTTTGAGACTAGAAGTCCAAGACCAATGTTTCAACAGAATTGGTTTCTCCTGAAACCTCTCCCTGAGTTGTAGATGGCTTCATATGGTATTTGTTCTATGCATCCTTGGTGTCTCTTTGTGTATATAAATCCTCTTCCTATAGGATCACTCAGATTGGATTAGGGCCCAACCAAAGAGCCTATTTTAACTTAATCACCTTTTAAAAGACACTAACTCCAAATACAGTTACATTCTGAGGTTAGCACTTTAACATGTGATTTTGGGAGACATAAATCAACCCAAATCTAGGTATATGACTTGAAGGTCTCTGGTGTGTGTGACAGGTGTATTTTAGAATAAGCTCACCACAGTTTATGATAGCAAACATATTCTTCAAACAAAACAGTTCAATGTGAATGCAAACATGGTAACATAAGCCCGAGTCTCCCAGCTTTAAGAATGTTAAGTGAGAGAATGTAATATAAAATAGCAAGGGATTCTGGGAAGAAGGCAGCAATGGTGTTATAGTTTTATAATCTCCTGATTTCCCCATAAATACAGGCAGAACAATTACAACAGAAAGGAAAAAGCTGACACAAAACCTCTATAGCAAAACTAATTGGTAAGCTATACACATGAACACAAAAATGTAGGTACAAACTATCAACACTAACAAGACCCACATTATTAGCAATTTATATATGAGAGAGAACAAAGTGGGTGGGGGCAGGCAACCAGAATTCTGATGTGTTTGTGGCATAAGAACCTTAAAACCGTAAGAAGTTCTCTTTATAAAGTCAAACTGAGTACAGCAGCCAAAATTGTGAGACCAATATTGAAAGAGAGCAGCCTGGGTCCTATGAACACTTAAAACTAACTGACAGAGCTCCTTTTCAGAGCAAAAGCTCATGCTGAAGAGAAATTGTTGGAAGCATAATCCAAGTTTAATAGGGTAGAGCCAATAAGAATAAAGAAAAGAGATGGTACAAATAAAAGTGGGAATACAACACTAAAGGTTGAGTTAATACAAATTAAGAAAATAATGTAGCTGAAACCGGTTTGGCTCAGTGGTAGAGCGTCGGTCTGCGGACTGAAAGATCCCAGGTTCGATTCTGGTCAAGGGCATGTACGTTGGTTGCGGGCACATCCCCAGTAGGGGTGTGCAAGAGGCAGCTGATCAATGATTCTCTCTCATCAATGTTTCTAGCTCTCTATCTCTTTCCCTTCCTCTCTGTAAAAAATCAATAAAATATATTTTTTTAAAAAGGAAGAAAAAGAAAATAATTAAGTTGTGGAAAAATATACATTAGAATTAGAAAAACTAAAAGAAGGTTTTGAAGAAAAGGAAGATTTGAACAGACAGGTGACAAAACTCATAAAAACATTTAAAAATTTTTCAATAAAGATTAAACTGGAAAGAACACTAAAGACATTAGTTCAATTGATAATACCTTCAGAAAGATAAAAGATGGAAAATAAAAAATAATTAAAATTTTAAAGATGAAAAGAGTTGAAGAAAAAATACCAATGATAAAGATCTACCATAAGTAATATATATAAGCCCCAAAATAAGAAAATCAAAACAATGTAACAGAATACTTATGATTTTTAAAAAGTAATTGGGAAAAAAAAGACTTGAAACTATATACTACACATTACATTCTTGAAAAAAAATAAACCTGGAATTTTTTGTGTCAGCTTTTTCCTTTCTGTTGTTCTGAGGGAGACAATAGTAAATATACAAAAATCTAAAGAAGACGACAAAAAAGGAGAAGAGGGAGAGGACAGGGGAAAAAAAGGAGGGCAAGGAAGAAGGAACGGGAGGGGAAGGAAGAAGAAAGAGGGGAAGGAGAAAAATCTAATCTAATAATAGAGCAATATACAAATTTGTCTGTTACAACATCACACCACCGCTGGATCAGCAGGCTGTGCCCCCTGCCTCTGCTCAGGCAGCTGCAAGGCCTGGGGCAGGATAGCATACAAGAGGAGGGGATAAGAAAAGAGAGGGAGAGAAGGCAGGACTTCATGCAGTCAGGCTGAGAGGAAAGACAGAAATACAGAAAGGGTACAAGAAAGAGATGCAGGAATGGAAAAGGGAAGGAAGCTGCACGCAGAAGCGGGTGGCGACTGGGGGTGGCAGGGAGCCCCGCCCAGACTCGGAGGAGGGCAGTGGCTTCCGTTGGTGGGGAGATGATGCCCATGGGTCCAGGAGAGAGTGGAGAAGGACTTCTGGGCAGAAGTGCTCCTGGTTCGTGGCAGCAGAGCCTGGGATGCTCAGGCCTCAGCCATCCTTGCTGGGTTGGGTGTCCCAGGCAGGGAATGGGAGCAAGAGAGCGGCAGGGAGGCCAAGGAAGGGGAGGGGGGGGGGAGCAGCAAACACTTGGCCAGGGCTGAGCCCTTGGCTGGGGTTAACGCACCCCCATCCCAATGAAAGTTTTAAGAAGGGAGGGAGGGAGGGGGAAAATTTATAAAGGAGTCAGTAGAGAGCAGAGTTAAAGAAGGAAAGAGGATGTGTGAGTGAACAGTAAGAGCCATAATGAAAATCAAGTATAGTTATGTACTGGGGACAGATTTTAAAAGGAGTCAGAAAAGAAAAAGGATAAATGATAATGCACTCAGGGTGGCAGTCCCCTCAGCCTAGCCTGCACCCTCTTGCAATATGGGAGCCCTCAGGCCTAAACCAGCAGCGGGACATCCTTAGCGCTCCTGCCATCGCCCTGCCTGGCTCAGGGCTTCTCTGGCTGAGCAGTGCTCCCCCTGTGGGAGCGCACTAACCACCAGTGGGCAGCTCCTGTGTTGAGCGTCTGCCCCCTAGTGGGCAGCAACCAGTTGTTCCACCATTTGGTCAATTTGCATATTAGCCTTTTATTATATAGGATTATATAGGATAGCAAAAATCTTACCTTGGCCACTTCTTCAATGTTACCAAAACCAGGCTACCAACAGGTAGCTGTGAATAGACAATCTTAAATCCACTTTGATGAAACTGAGACTCTTCAGGAAAATCTTCTTCAGAAATAGAGCACTTATTATATTTTGAATCAGTGTTCATGTAGCAATACCATGATTCATTGTGATCAACTCTGGCTGCATCCTCACTTGACAACAACCTCCATTTCAAACAACTTTCACATTGAACCCACGTTTTGTTTATATATATATCGTTTTCCACGGATGAATCCATTGTAGTATTAAGATTACTATTATCTTACTGTCAATTTTTTTTTTTTATAAATGAATTCAATCTGGAAAATAAGAGGAAAATAAAAGAATAAGGATTCAAGAATATAAGAAAAGTTCATTCCAAAATCTGAGAAATAGCTCTTTAAATATCATCTTTGCCCACCTAATCTTTATCCTATAAAGATTATACATGTTGAACATGTTATAGTTCCACTTACCCAGAAACAAAATAGATGCATCAATTCCTTTGGGCACAAAATACTCCAAAATTAAAACAAGAGCAGTATGATGGAGTAAGACTAGAGGTTAATATCTATTAATCTACTATATCACACACATCTGGTAGATATCCAATACTTTTGCCATAAAAAATAGTTAAGCCTTATTGAATGCTATCATAAGTGACTCATTTAAACAACTTACATATATAACCATTTTTAAAGAAATAATTTTAAAGAAAAAACTGAAGCAAAGGAAAGTAATTTGTTTAAGGTTCCAGAGCTTATATATGGTTAGAATAGAATTAAGATGAAGGCAGTTTGGTTCCAAATTCAGTGATATTACCTACTAAGCAGTTCTGCCTCTAGGTATATATTATAGCATGACTTGATAAGCCCATTCTTTTTCTAATTCTGAGGAAAATCAAATGCAGAAAAACATTTCATCATATGAAAATGTGAAATGCTTTAAGAAAATTAAAAAATTTTTGCATGTATAATTTTACCTTTTATTAATTTAAGTGATTTGAAAAAGAACATTTCTCAGAGCTTTCTTTTTATAAAAATTTTAAACCTGTAAGAAAAGTTAGCATTGTAGATTAAGGTCTCAATTTCTAACTTCAACAATAATTGCTATGTGCATACTACTAAAATATAGTTAAACTAATAATTACTGTAATTAATAAAATACAAGTAAAATATTAGCATCTTATTTTGCAATGCAAAACCTATTTTTTAAATTTAAAAAACTTATTAATACACTATATTAATGAGTTAGTAGAATACTACTAGCCAAGAATGGGCACCATTTAAAAAAGCTCTTAACTCATGATTTAATTATATGTTTTGAAACTCACTTATATGCTTTTCCAGGATAACTACAAATAGCTTTAGAAAAAACTGCCAATATATTGCAATTGACACAATTCATAATTTTTGGCCTACTAATTCCACTCATGGGAATGCATCCAAAGAAAAATTTCCAGTTTCTCTCCTGTTACTGATTTCTAGTTTCATACCATTGTAATGATAAAAGATAACTGATATCATTTTAATGTTCTAATATTTGTTAAGGCTGGTTTTTTGCCTAACATATAATCTATCCTGAGGACCATTGCATGTACATCTGAGAATAAGTATTCTTCTACTATTGAATGTTCTCTATACGTTAGATTCTTTTAATCTAAAGTGTAGTTTAAGTCAAATGGTCCTGTATTGATTTTGTCTGAGTGATCTATCTATTGTTGATAGGGGCATATTGAAATCCCCATTACTGTATTGCTATCTATTTCTCCCATTAATATTAGCTTCTTTATTTTGATGCTCCAATACTGGATGCATAAACATTTTCAATCCTCTAGATAAATGAATACCTTTATCGTCTATCTATAAATAACCTAATATGCAAATAGACCGACCAGCAGAACAACTGAACAACCAGTCACTGTGACGTAGGCTGACCACCAGCGGGCATGTGCAGAACATGGTGTCAGCAGCATGCAGCAGAGCACAAAACATGCTGGGCATTGGCAGTGGTGGGATGGTGGAGGTGAGCGGGGGTGCCAGACCAAGGTGAGGTGCGGGACAAGCCTCTGTTGGTTACTGAAAATTCTTTGCTCTTATGCTCCACGGTCATGCTGGCACTTGCACCTGCTGCCAGTGCCGGAGCCCAGTGCTGGCACTGAATGACTGGGGCTAGTGGCAGGTGCCAGCAGCAGGTGCAAGCAGTGGATGCTGTCCCCAATTACCCTTCAGGGCTTCACCTTCCCCTGCTCCTGAGGGCAATCGGGGTAGCATCTGCCGCTTGCACCCGCTGCGGGCGCAGACCCTAATTGCTTTGCACCATCAGCAGGTGTAAGTGGGACCAACATCATCAGCAAATGGAAGTGGTGGTGGTGGGAGTAGGGCTACCAACAGACTGGGGACCAGGGGCCACAGCAGGAAGGGCTGGTTCGGGTTGCAGAGGATGGGCTGAGACCTGTCCCTGTACCCATTGCAGCCTTGCAACCCACAGTTCCTTTCAAGGTGCACAAATTTGTGCACCAGGCCCCTAGTTATATAACCACCTTGACTTCTTTTTCAAGCTTTTACTTAAATTCTATTTTGTCTGATATTAGTATAGTAACTTCTGGTTTCTATTTGCATGGAATATTATTTTTCATCCTTTCACTTTCAGTGTATGATTAGAGAATTAGTCCATTTACATTTAGAGTATCTATACTAATAATAGAGGAATGCTCACTAAAATAATGCATGTATTGTATGAACCAAGAAGTACAGCACATAGTAGGTGTTCATTAAATGGTTGCATTACTTTCTTTAAACTTTAAAACTGCATCAACTTACATTACTAGATATTTATCTAATATATCCAATGTGTTCTGTCTCTATTAGTATGTCTTTGCTCATGTTATCCTCCTTATTCTATCATAACCTGTAAATTTTCCACTTTTAAAATCTATCTCAAATACCATCTCTTTTAAGTTTTTCTGGATATCCCCTCCAACCAGCTGCAATTTCTCCCTGCTTGACCTTTGTGTCCTCTTAACTTCTGGTATGTATAACATTCTGCTTCATATTATAGTGATGTGTACTGACCACTTCCTATCACTGGACTTAAGCTATCTGATGGAAGAAGTATTATTTTTGTGTTGCCAGCAATGTATAAACTGATGATAGAAAAATTGCCCTTTTTATATTGATTCCAAAATACCAAAAAATGCTTTACATGTAGGGATTTTTCATATCACTTACCTAATTTTGTTCAATTTCTCCTATACTTCTGTGAAGCATCTGGAACTGGATAAATATTCTAACAGATGGGGAAGGGATTAGAGAGCAATTTTTATTTGTAACAATACATTACAATGCATTACTAGTTAAATTGAATTTATTAAAGAAACCACCAAGGTTTGCAGAACTCTATTAAACAGTTCTAGACAACTTAATACAGAATAACATTATATATAATTTGTAGTATCAAAGTGAAAATCATGAGCTAAAGAAGAAAATAAGAAAATTCCATATACATTTTACATAAATTCTCCAAAGATTTTTGTATTTCATGAATGTTATTTTAGAATGTTATAGCAGAGCCTGAAAAAAAAAGATCAATTTTTCTTGAATAGATATATTACATAGTTCCATTGTTCAACAGAACAAAGGTCTTTAAGATGGAGTACAGCCAATGTGAATTCTTGTGAAGCATCAGTTTTTATTACAATGTATATACATTTTTATGACTGATGCATCCCAGATGGTAAAATTATAACATACCCACGGAGTTCTGAACAATATCAGAATTTAATGAGACTGTGTGAATAAATACATACAGACGAGGAATGAAGATAAATGGCTACTTATGATAGAAATTGTTTTTATTGTTTGTATGTGAATGAGAAAAATGACTGGTTCTTCCAAACAAACAAAATTGTCATTATTCTTTTGCTCTCCAACATTGTTGTTATAGGAAGTAATCCATTTTTAACCACAGGCTATCCCAGACAATACAACTCCTCTAGGTTTGAGAAAAGTAATGGTATCTGTACTGCTATCTTCAAAGTTGGAGCATTTCAGCCTTACAATTTCAATTTCAATTACTTCTATTTTCTAGATAATATCTCACCTGTAACCAATGTGTGGCCCAGCAGTTGAGCATCAATCCAGGAATCAAGAGGTCATGGGTTTCATTCCCAGTGAGGGGGGGTATGCAGCAGGCAGAAATCAATGTTTCTCTCGTCGATGGTTGTCTCTATCCCTCTTCCTTTCTCTCTCTCTAAAAATCAGTAAGATCATATTTTTAAAATTTTACTAGATTTTGAATTTAAATTTAAAATAACTAAACCTGCCTACTTTCAAATAGAACTTGAATTAATAATTTTAATGTTATAAATTAACATTTTATAATAGTAAAGAGATAGTAGAAAAGGATGAGTACTTGGAATAAAAAATATATAGTTTCTAATCTTGGTAAGTTTCAGAAGGCCTCAGTTCCCCATCTGTAAAATAAGGAGAGTACAGCTAGATGACCTCTAAAAAGTTGTCCTGCTTTAATGGTTCATAATTGACATTTTCTGGCTGTTTTTCTTCAAATATATCTACTCCCTGCACTGGATTATCTGCTCCTCTATGTTCTTTTAGCCACATATCAGAGTTTAAACTTCACCAGCCTCCCTTTCATCACTGTGTTAGTCTTGTTAGCTCTGAAGACTTGCTAAACTTTGCTTTGCAGTAAGTGTTGGTTTTTAGTGTTTATTCTGCTTTGGTTCATATGTAATCTCCCTTACATAGGCAATCAGGTTAGTCTACAAGGTGTATTTCTTGCCAGTCTTAAAATGCGGCACTCTTTGTCACCTTCAATCCCCATCTGGCGCCTTCAGACTGATAGGTTCCAGCATCTCTCATGAAAGATGCTTTTATTACAACCTCCAAGACAATTAATGATAGCAGATATAAATTCAAGTCCATATTCCTCCAATTATTGGCTATATAACTTTGAGAGTCATTGAAAGTCTTGTAATTTTATCTATAAAATTATTATTTCATAGAGAGGTTGAAAAGATGATTTTTAATAAATAAATATAATAGTGAACAGTAATAGAAATAAAAATGCATCTGTAGCAAGGACAATCAAGGTTGAAAGTTTTGCAGTACTCCTAGAGGGGGAATTTTAAAAAATTATTCTTAGGTTTTATGAAGGCGAAAAAATACTACAGAGAAGAAAGGTGAGGTCTATAATAGCAAAAAGAGATAAGGGTTCCACTGGGATGGATCTGAAGAAGTC